GGAAGAGAGAAAGAGAAGCCCCTGAAAAATAAAAAAGATGTACCGAGTCCCTGTTTAAAGGGGGCCCCTGAAAAATAGGCAAAGTAAGACGAACCCCTGTTTAGAGGGCCCCCCTGGAAAAATAATCAAGATAAAGGAGTCCCTGTTTAAAGGGCGCCTCTAAAACAATAGGCAAAATAAGAGGAGTCCCTGTTTTAAGGGCGTCCCTTAAAAATAGGCAGAATAAGAGGAGGCCCTGAAAAATAGGCAGAATAAGAGGAGCCCTTGAAAAATAGGCAGAATAAGAGGAGCCCTTGAAAAATAGGCAGAATAAGAGGAGCCCTTGAAAAATAGGCAGAATAACAGGAGCCCTTGAAAAATAGGCAGAATAAGAGGAGCCCCTGTTTAAAGGGCGTGGTATAAGGCCCTTGACGGCCCAAGGTTCTGTAGTGAAAGTGTGTAGACTGAGATTGTATCCAGTTGTATCCTGGCAATTCCAGCTTTTAATACTTTAGTATACGCTCAACAGTTCAGTTTCCATGATCTTGGTAGTTAGTTCTTTGTAAATTAGTAGTCCTTATTCTTTGATCTAGTAGTCTTTCTGCTAAGATCTTTAAGTTATTTCCTTAAAAAATCTATTAATCTTTTTTCTTAAACATATAGTAGTCCTTTTTATTAAACCTATTAGCTAGCCCTTTTTCTTAAACCTATAGAAGTCCTCTTTCTTAAACCTAGAAGTCCTTTTTCTTTAACCCAGGAGTCCTCTTCCTTAAACCTAGAAGTCCTTTTTCTTTAACCCACTAATCCTCTTTCCTAATCCTAGTAGTTTTTTTTCTAAAACCTAGTAGTCCTTTTTCTTTAACCCAGTAGTCCTCTTCCTTTTAAACCTAGTAGTCCTTTTCCTTAAAACTGTAGTTCTTTTCCTTAGACCCAGTAGTCATCTTTTTTGAACCTAATAGTCATTTTACATAAAACCTAGTAGTCCTTTGTAAAATCTAGTAGTCTATTTGTTTAAACCTAGTAGTAAATTTCCTTAAAACCCAGTATTCCTTTTTTTAAACATACATAGTAGTTCTTTACCGTATTAGAAGAGATGCCAAAAAAAATTACATATACATTTTCTATCTCAATAATTTCCAGGCACAAAAAAACTTGTAAAAACAATGGATTTTTTTAAAACTAAAAATAAGTCAATAGTTTGGTTTATTTGACCTGTTAATTAACAAAGGAGGCATTAAAGATGAGAACTTTGATCATAATCCCCAAAAAAAACCTTTTTTCGTCGGCCGCAAATTGAAATAACAATTAACATTAAAAAGCCCGCAGAGACCAAATATAATGAATTTGTAGAGTCGAAGAATTGCCCTCAGCCGGTTCAACTTTCAATCACTGACTCAAATCTTTAATTTTGAATTTGTGGTTCAAATTTGAACCGGCAGTAGATAATTCAGCGACGTACATGGTGTCCCACGAAACATGACAGTTGGTGAATAGTTTAACATATCTTCTTCCATAATATGTCAAGTTGCCAAAGAGAATAATAATAAATATTTTATGGCAACCATATTATAGTAAAATTGATTTCTAAGTAAAATATATTTGAGTAAATTTTTTAAAACTAAATAAACTGCAAAAAGTCTTTAATATTTAATACGTATATGGAAGAAGACACTCAAAACTATTCACCAACTGTCATGTTTCGTGGGGCACCCTGTAGCTCAAATTCCTTAAAGTCGGTCCACCGTTGAGGTCTCTCAATTCTAGTTTCAAGATGGATTTGTTACTTCTTGAATATCTTTAAGAAAAATCTTTTGAAGGACATCTCGCCTTTGTATAAATATATCCTGGATCGACCTTGCATCCAAACCTGAAATATAGAAAACCCAATTCATAAAACATTTCATAAGTTATAAACGTGGTAACATGTTGCCAGAAAGCATATAGGGAATGTAGACGATTGTGGTAACATGTTGCTAGGAAGTTTAAAGGGAATGTAGACTATTTAATCAGTGGCGTGCGCTTTTCTGCTTAAGAAACACTTTGGCGGATATTGTCAAAATGCAATACTTTTCAGCTCGAAAATTGAGAATATCTTTAATATTATTGATGAAAGTGTAACTATAGGGTAACGTTGACATTGTCAAAAATCAAAATTTTCCTGCTAAGAAAAACGAGAATATCTTCAACATTCATGATCACATAATGGTTTAACTAGGGTACCTGTGAATCAGGCAGTAACCTCTTTAAAGGTACTGTATTTATATTACAAGTTACCCACCAAATAACGAGGGTCATGCTCGCTTCAGAACGGTGCCCTTTGAATCTTTGAGTCTTTATCAGAGCCCGTTCTCTCTATAGATAGTGGTCCTGTAGTTAACGTACTTTGGGGGACGATATGTTGGCCGCTAGATGTCTTATGCTAAATTCTTATCTGATAGATAGATAATTTCTCCGTACACTTGACGACCAATATAGGAGACGTCAAGTTGTCGACCAATGTAGTTAATGGAAGGAACAGCTTCTGATCAATACAATGAAAGATATTTTTTTTATTTTTCTCCTTTTAATAGAATTTAATTCCAAAAGAAACCTTCAAATGAAAATAAAATGTAGTTGAAAGAAAATTCATTGATATCTCATTCCTGCTTGAGTATAATGTTGGGAATGGAGATGTACTAGTCTCTTTAAGGGTGAAAAAAATGTAAAGTTTTTCTGATGTTTGAATGATTGGTAATTGTCGCTAATCTATCTATCTATCTTACTATCTATCTATCTATCTTACTATCTATCTATCTATCTGTATATCTATCTATCTATCTATCTATCTATCTATCTATCTATATATCTATCTATCTATCTATCTATCTATCTATCTATCTATCAATCTATCTGGTTAGTGCCGAGAGTATTGTAAATCCTTGATCTTTATCAATATCCAAGCTCTATAATATGAAAATGGTAGACACACACACACTGCTCAATGCATATTTTCACCTATTCAAGGTTTCAAAGGACTGTGGAGTGAAGACGATATTTTGTTAAATGGCATGTCTAATTCACAGCCGTAGTCTTAGTCTGATCTGGATTGCGTAGGATATCCATGTTTTTCGCCTTGAAAAAAAACCATTTAGTTTTTTTGCTCTATAACAGTAGAATTCTACTGCAGAGAGAAAGTAGGAAAAATCGGAATAAAAACGATATTTTTCATTATTTTGTCAGATAAAGGTACAAGGAATACATCTGTAAGTGTGAAATTACAACTTTTTACACTTCCAGAGCTGAAAACTTTAGAATGAGATATCCTTAATCTAGATTGGTTAATTAATCTCGAGTTAATAACAAGAGAAGAACAAGCATATTATTTAATCTCAAGATTAAGAAAAAGAGTGGATCAAGTATTAATCCTGATATCCACCATTCAAAAGTTCCCAGCTCAGGTAACACTGGAGTTTCTTGTTCAATAAATTGTCAAGTTGAACAATAATAAAAAGTTCAATTAAATAAATTTTTCTTGTCTTCTACCCTTTTATACTTTTCACGAAATCCTGTTATCTTTGCACACTGACATGTTTTGTTTGTTTGGGGTGGGGGGTGGGGGGGTGTAACATGTTTTATTTACATTCCTTCCACCCTGAACTAACCACAGAGAGAAGCATCCTGTTTCTTTTATTTGAAATCAAACGTATTTTCGTCTATATTTCAACAATCTTTAAACTTACAGATTTGTTTATTTTATACTTTTTCATTCAAAATGTATATGCCAACAAAAAATGAATTAAGAAAAAAGGCTATAAAGTTATGTATAAGGGGTCAAATTGTGATCGGAAGTCACAGCTTTCTGAAATATTGACAGAACCGTTAAATCCACGTGCTTCCAGAACTGCAGTACGCTTATTATGAAAACAAAGATCTGGAAGGTGTCTGGTGTTCAGGGTGTTCAACCAAGCATGGCAGTTTAGAGACGTCTTGAAGGTCGTCTTTTTTCTTTAAATAATTTCCAGCATTTATTTATACACGAATTTAAAAGTAGAATTATTGAATTAATAATAACTAATTGCCCTGTCTGTATCCCTTGCAATTCTAAGATGTAATCTGTATTTTTCATGTTTTTAAAATTATCAGAGATATGAAATATTTCGTTTTGAAATCGACAAAGATATATGATCAAAGACAGTCTTTCAACCAGGGGCGTTCGAAGGGGGGCACCAATGTATTTAATTTAAGAATAAATAAATCTTATAATAAAAAATACTTTAAAATCTCACGTTTGCCCCTAACTAAAAAAGTTTCATTAAAAAAGTTTTAATCAATGTTGCCTTCAGTGTAAATAAATATTTGACATCATTATTTATAATCAGGGGTGGATACAGGGGGAGGGGGCGGGGGGACAGTCACCCTCCCTGAATTTGGAATTTTTTGTTCCTATTTTCAGAATAGCTTCTCAATAGCATGCTTAAGTGAAAAAACCCTAGTGCAAAACAGGAGAAATATCTGTCTTAATAAACTATAATGTGTGAAAAGTTAAAAGCCTAGTTTTTTAGTCTTTAGTCATTAATTTTCACTCTTTTTGAGTCTTTTAAGTAAAAAAAATGTTTACTGCGGCGCGAATTTTTGTTCCTAATTATGAATTTTTTTGTTCCTAAAAAATCTTGCCCCCCCCCCTCACTTAAATCCTGTATCCGCCCCTGTTTATAATACAATATATGTGTATCGATCCTATGAAAATATAGATATTTTTAAGAAACGTTTCCATCTCCATTTTTCACCCCTTGAAGCTTACACCACGTAGTATTAAGAGGGAGTGTCTTTAAAAAATTACATAAATAATTCATTCATACTTGTAATATGGAAGGGGTTTTTAAGAGGGGCGTGATGTTGCCAAGGGGGGGGGGCATAACAAATTTTGTGCCCCCCTACACAAATGCTCTCGGACGCCACTGCTCTCAACATCATGTTTCGTGGGACACCCTGTATCTTAATTATTGATTTGCCTTGAAAACTCCATGAACAATGAACATGTGTACTGCATATTTCAGAAAGTAAACAATGCAAACTGGTTTCTGATCCGAGCATATAGTAAATAGTACTGCAAGCATTAGAGTTTAGTCAGCTTGTGAACATGAGGTGAGGAGGTGTAATGACATAGTCATAATGTTTATGTGTAATATTTACTTATTTTTCTGTGACGTTTTTTTCTAAAATCGGTCTATAGGACTGCACCAATAATTTTAATGTCAAATGTCTTTTAATTTTATAATATTCTATAGTTTTTACTTGAAATCTTGTGCAATAATACCGTTAAAATTCGCCTAAAATTTCCATACAATTTTATAGTGCCCGGCGTTGCCCGTGGAATTGAAAAATAATTGAATTTTTTTAGCCGGGATACCTCTGGGTTCCCTCAAAAAAATCAGCCCATTCGGTCTAGCTGTTGGTCGGCTAGATAGGGAACACAAATACTTATGTCTTTTGATTATAAAGATAATAGTCTCCTGGTCTTTAAATGTACAGTACGTTATTTTTTTTTCTAGGGGCTTAATACTGCTCCTGTGCTTAAGTGGAGCATATGCGCAGTTTAGCCGCGGTACATTCCAGAGTAGTAAAAAACAAGATGGAGGATCGTCAGCTGACCAATCCCAGGTTAATAAAATTCCTGAGTTGATTAATACCTGATACAAAAATGTTATTGAAAATGGATTTTTATTTTCTCATCATTTTCTAACACTTGAAAATTAGCAATGTTATCAATTTGTCAGAATTTATCTTTATGAACTGTAAAGTAAAACTAAAAATATCAAGGATTTTTGTGACTATTGGTGGATTTTTAATGTTTATAGGTGAAGGATGGACCTGGAATTTCCGAATCCGTGGAAGATTTATGCGTGGATCGACCACCTAATGAATACTTCAGGTCGGACTTTTAACTTATGAATCTTATAACTTTGAAATTCCTTGTTTACTGCAACATTAGAGGGTTAAGTTGGAAGTTCAAGCCATGGCAGACTTGCTTAGGCATGACCAACTAATAACAAGTTTTTGAAAATCGATCATTATTTAAAATGGAAAAAGCCGTTTCTTGAAAAATGTGAACGGTTTTAAGAAACAACGAATGTGAAATATGTTTCAATTATTTTACCAGCCATTTTTATACGACATAATTTATAACAGCTCATTGAAAGACTAAATATTTTCAGTAACAGCTGCAACTGACGGAAAACTGAAAGCGATGTTTATGAATGATATTTAGATTGAGTACCGAAGGAGATTGCCGTGATGTAGTGCGATGTGACAGAGCTGGGATAGCTGGTACCATTAGGTCATGTTTTATTCTGATAGTTTGACTAGGGTTTGCAGCGAAAAAGAAAAAATCGTTTCGCTTAAATTTTTTTTTTCGCAGGTCGCTCGCGAATAAATATAAAATTTTGCTTTTATCAGTTTCGCGAAAAAATGCAAATTTACGTGACATAAGAATTGCAAAAATGTTGAGAAAAAATGCAAATATTTCGCGACGAAATCCGGAATTTAGAGAAATACAAAATGGTTGCGAAAATTCATCAAAAAAGACAAAATACAGCTTCAACACTCATGGTTAACGCGAAAATATTTTTTGCGAAAATTCGCTTCGGTAGGCATTTTTCGATTCTTTCATTTTCGCGAAATACGAACGAAAATTTTCGCATTTTTTTCGCGAAAAATTTCGTTCGTTGCTAACTGAAAGTTTAACCCAAAACTACGAGTCTTCGTAAGAATTTATAAAATGTCGAAGACGACATTTTGTTACTTCGTGCAATCTTTTTTAAAGCAGCGACTCATTGAATCCATTGTTTTTGCAGAAGGCTTAAAATCCTTCTTGAATCCCTTAATTTACCAATTTGGACAGATTTATTTACGTTTAAATTCTTTTAATACGTATTTTAATTCATTTTTTACATTCTGAAAATGTATTTTGATATTATTATAGACTGGCAAGTGTGAAGTGTCCCTCCGGACTTGCTTTTGATTTAGAAAGGCAGACTTGTGATTGGAAGGCAAAGGTAAAACTTTTTAAAAATTCTGTCAAAATTTTTTGGTCATATTCAACCCTTGTTTTATTACTTATATCGTTTTTAAATTTATGCCTTCCCCAATAAATAACAGTAATGAATTTGTTTCACAATTGTGTTATTCCAGGTCAATAATTGTGACCGGCTCAGCAAGCCTCGACTCACCTTGCCCAACTTGAACACTGAAGAACCTGTCTGCCCTGACGGTCAACTTCAGTGCGGGAACGGTAAGCGATCGTTTAAAGCTTCAGTGTGACGTCTTAAATTGACGTGTTTTGTACGTGTCCGAACAGTTTATTGTGTTTGACCGCTAGGTGTCTCCATGATTATGGATGTCTGAATTCACTACGATTTTATTTGTTCTCGCCGACAGATGTAGCTTTTTAGCTAGCGTATGACATGATGGTAAGAAGTATGAATGGTATACGATCTTAGCTCCGGTCGTAAAGGCTGGATCTAGAGTTTTATAAATAATCATCGATAAATTCTTGCTTTTAAAAGGGGATGGTGGAGTTGGCATGTTTGATGTAGGGGGGGGGGGGGGGCCTGCCTTCATTTTTGGTTTAAATCTTCCAATTTTTTGGCTACACGCCTAATTAGTGTTCGAAATTCCTAAAATAAAATAAAATTGAATTGTTATGACCTCTAATGACCTCTGATGACCTCCTAAAATAGAATATTTTAACTATAGCTCAACTTATGGAATTTGGCAATGCTTATGGTTCAATATTACAGAAAAACTAAGTTCACTTTTGACCCTCGAGCCTCGGCTACCAATAAAATGTCTAAATTTAATAAGTTTTGTATTATTTAGGCGAGTGTATTGCCAAGAGTAACTTCTGTGACAAGAAGCCTGACTGTGTGGATGGAAGTGATGAAAATGCCTGCAGCGTTGACGATGATCCAAATAGGGTAGGAGGATTTAAATAAACCCTCGCTACTGTAGGACGATTTAAGTAAACCCTAACTGCTGTAGGACGACTTAAATAAACCCTCACTGCTCTAGGACGATTTGAATAAACCCTCACTACTGTAGGACGATTTTGATAAACCCTCACTACTGTAGGACAATTTTGAATAAACCCTCACTTCTGTAGGACGATTTGAATAAACCCTCACTTCTGTAGGACGATTTGAATAAACCCTCACTTCTGTAGGACGACATGAATAAACCCTCACTACTGTAGGACGATTTGAATAAACCCTCACTACTGTAGGACGACTTGAATAAACCCTCACTACTGTAGGACAATTTTGAATAAACCCTCACTACTGTAGGACGACTTGAATAAACCCTCACTACTGTAGGACGATTTAAATAAACCCTCACTAATATAGGACGACTTAAGTAAGTCCTTACTGCTGTAGGACGACTTAAATAAACCCTCACTGCTTTTTTCGCATCAATAATAGCTTGTTTTATGAAAGACGATTGAACAAATTTCTTAGTATAAATTTGAAAGATATGTCAAACCTGAATTTTATTATACAAGTTTAATACTGTAAGAACCAGAAAACTGTTATGGGATGAATATATTGGGCAGTACTTGTGTGTTACAAAGCTTAAAGTGTTACAAGTAACTTGTTAAGAACTTGTTGGGTTGTTAACACTTAACACTACGGTGTATTATGTACATTGGACTATTAAAAGTCGTATGTTTGAGAATCGTTCTATTCTAGTTCTCACTTAACTTTATATTATAGGGTTCTTTTTACTTTAAGGTTTCCATTATGTGAATTTAGTACCTTAAACCCTAATTCAATTTATGGCAATTTCCTTTCACATTTTATTATATCAGGCCGACATTCCCTTTAACATTTTATTAAATCAGGCTGATGTGTGCGACACTGCTACCTGCCTGCTGCCAGAATGCTACTGCTCTGCCGATGGAACAATTGCCCCAGGTCAGATAATGATAGAATTAGTTAACAATTGTCCCAGGTCAGATAATGATAGAATTAGTTAACAATTGCCCCAGGTCAGATAATGATAGAATTCGTTAACAATTGTCCCAATTCAGATAAAGATAGAATTAGTTAACAATTGCCCCAGGTCAGATAATAGAATTAGTTAACAATTGCCACAGATATTGACCCAGGTCAGATAATGATAGAATTAGTTAACAATTGTCCCAATTCAGATAAAGATAGAATTAGTTAACAATTGCCCCAGGTCAGATAATAGAATTAGTTAACAATTGCCACAGATATTGATAGAATTAGTTAACAATTGCTTAAACTGGATTAAAAACCGTTTCATTGCTAGAATCTTATTGTTAGTTATCCTTTGGCTAGGATTGTTAATAATTGCTGTTAACTAAATGTTAGAATTGCTGTTTCCTAACGTGAGAATTGCTGTTAATCTAATTTGAGAATTGCTTTTAACATTATGTTAAAATTACTGTAACCAAATGTGAGAATTAGTGTTAATCTAATGTGAGAATTGCTGTTAACGTTATGTGTAAATTCCTGTAACATATTGTAAGAAATTTTTGTTAACATTATGTGAGAATTGCTGTTAGCATTATGTGATAACTGATGTGAAAATGTCTAACATAATGTGAGAATTGCTGATACGTGAGAATTGCTACTTAACGTGAGAATTTCTGTTTAAATTTCTGTTAAGAATATGTTCAATAAAACTTTTAAAAAAGATGAATCCCTTGAATCAGCGTTATTGTTGGATTGACGTGCTATTGCTCATGACATAAAAACGTAAATTAACTGTTAATGTGCTATCTTCTTGATTTCAGGAATTGATACTATTGAGGTGACCAATATTCCCATGATGATTACTCTCACCTTCAGCGGGGCCGTCAATGGAGAAAATATCAATGTTTATAATAAGATTTTCCACAGGTTAGACGCGATTTCTAAAATGCAAGGCGTTGCCCATGGGTTCCCTCAAAAAAAGTCGGTTAATTTGGTTCAGCCGTTTTGCCAACTATGGTTAGCTTAATGAGCAGAGTTCTATTTATAAATGTTCTCAATAGATTGTTGGATTTCATAGTATGCTTTTTTTTTCTTAAATGTTTTGTTTCATTTAAACAATAAAAGCAAAATTTTTCTGAAACTTAGGTTTTTGAATATTTTTAGAGGAATCCCGCCTTTAAAAACTTTACCGAAATGTATATTTTAAACTTTATCCGATATATATTTTAAAAACTTGCCTAAAATATATTTTAAAAACTTAACCCAAAATATATTTTAAAATGTTATCTGAAATATTTTAAAAGTTTCACCTAAAATATATTTTAAAAACTTTACCTAAAATATATTTTAAAAACTTTATATGAAATTTATTTTAAAACCCTTACCTGAAATATATTTTAAAAACTTCACCTGAAATATATTTAAAAACTTCACCTAAAATATATTTTAAAAACTGCACCTAAAATATATTTTAAACTTGACCTGAAATATATTTTAAAAACTTGACCTGAAATATATTTTAAAAACTCTACCTGAAATATATTTAAAAACTTTACCTGAAATATATTTAAAAACTTCACCTAAAATATATTTAAAAACTGCACCTAAAATATACTTTAAAACTGCACCTAAAATATATTTTAAAAATTTATTTTGTAGCGAGAGATTGAATCCTAATGGATGCACTGCTAAAGGAACTTTTTTTGTGTCTCACAAGTACACCAACTACTCAGCTGTACAGGTATCATAATACAGTACACCGTGTTATGTACCGGTCATGTACAAGTCGTGCATGTTTTCTTGTCCTTAGTGTATTTTATCTTTGTGGCGTGCACAATTGATTGATTAATGTACTTCTAACGTGATCTTTAATGACTCATTGAAAAGTGTAAGGTCTGATTCACAACAGTACCCTTTGAAAGGCATTGTAACTCTGAATAAGAGGTTTCTTTAAATTACGAATAGTGGGTCTCTTTTAATTACAAATAATTGGTCTCGTTTAAATTACAAATAGTGGGTGTAAATTACAAATAATCGGTCTCTTTAAATTAAAAATAATGGGTCTCTTTAAATTAAAAATAATAGGTCTCTTTAAACTACAAATAATCGGTCTCTTTAAATTAAAAATAATGGGTCTCTTTAAATTAAAAATAATGGGTCTCTTTAAATTACAAATAATCGGTCTCTTTAAATTACAAATAAGGGGTCTCTTTAAATTACAAATAAGGGGTCTCTTTAAATTACAAATAAGGGGTCTCTTTAAATTACAAATAAGGGGTCTCTTTAAATTACAAATAAGGGGTCTCTTTAAATTACAAATAAGGGGTCTCTTTAAATTACAAATAAGGGGTCTCTTTAAATTACAAATAAGGGGTCTCTTTAAATTACAAATAAGGGGTCTCTTTAAATTACAAATAAGGGGTCTCTTTAAATTACAAATAAGGGGTCTCTTTAAATTACATATAAGGGGTCTCTTGAAATTACAAATAATGGGTCTCTTTAAATTACAAATAATGGGTCTCTTTAAACTACAAATAATGGGTCTCTTTAAACTACAAATAATGAGTCTCTTTAAATTACAAATAAAGAGTCTCCTTAAATTACAAAAAAGTAGTCTTTAAATTGAAAATGTTGGGTTGGTTTGATTACAACTGAGGGGTCATTTAAAATTAAAATATTGGGTCTCAAAATTGCGAATAATTTTTACATTCCTTGCTTAACTCTTGCTTATTAAGAGTTGGATAGAACTGGACATGAGATTGGAGTGTTTTCTATAACTAATACGTTTAGGAGTTACATAGAATTGGACATGAGATTGGAGTATTTTCTATAACCAATATGTTAAGGAGTTGCATAGAACTGGACGTGAGATTGGAGTGTTTTTTATAACTAATATGTTTAGGAGTTACATAGAACTGGACATGAGATTGGAGTATTTTCTATAACTAATATGTTTAGGAGTTACATAGAACTGGACATGAGATTGGAGTGTTTTTTATAACTAATATGTTTAGGAGTTGCATAGAACTGGACATGAGATTGGAGTGCTTTCTATAACTAATATGTTTAGGAGTTACATAGAACTGGACATGAGATTGGAGTGCTTTCTATAACTAATATGTTTAGGAGTTGCATAGAACTGGACATGAGATTGGAGTATTTTCTATAACTAATGATGAGGATCCGGATTACTGGACTCAAGGATCTTATGATAATTGGTTGGGAGAGATGGCAGGGGCAAGGTAATAATAAAGGAACTGAGTCTGGACCAAAAATGTTATAGCTTTAAACCTTATGGTGTATCCGATCGATTAGAATTCATAGTATCAAGAAATAGAATTGCAAAGATTTTGTGGCGACTCTTTTCTTCTTTTGTCTGGTTATATTTACATGACCGTGCAAAGGAAACCCTTTAGCTGTTCCCTTATTGCTAGGATTTCCTGGAACTGAACTTTTTTGTTTCTTTTATATTCATGTTAGAAAGACTTAATTTAACGTTGAAAACTTCATATTTGAGTTTCCAGTCATCATGACAGTCGTCAGTCTCTCCCTGTAGCAACATTTTTTTGGCGTAACTATACGTTCATTTTGATTTCCTAATAGTATTCGAGAAAATAATTTTTTTTTATAATCTTAGCTCAGTTGATGGCAAATCCAGACCACAAATTGAATTTCCTTTCAAGCTCATTTTAGGGCACTCATTTATTTGGCTATTTTAAACTAGCCAATTTTTTGAATAATTTTTTTTTAGATTAATTATTGAACGGTTTGCCAACATAACTGATAACACTGTTGTGGGGGTCCGTGCACCATACCTCAGGTTTGTTACTCAAAATAAGAAGATTCAGATAAAAATTGAAATTATGAGAAACAAATTTAAATTTTTCAAATTTTTTAAGAAGATTATATAATTAATATTTAAATTTTTTAGGGTTGGAGGAAATGAGCAGTTTGCGATGATGGTTGATCAATATTTCGTTTATGATTCTTCTATTACTGCACCTCTTGGTAGAATACCTCTGTGGCCCTATACTCTCCACCATAGGTACCTTTTTGTCAGCGAGTCCTCCCTTTCGAACCCATTTTCCCCAATTGATTGATTTTTATTCAAACATGTTGTGTTTTAAAAAGCGATTGCACATTAAAAGGGACTGATTAAGTGATATTAAGTGCCCCTCCATACCTGATTTACAATAATACCTTATACATCTTGTGCTCCTCCATACCTGATTCACGATAATACCCTAAAAATCTTTTGCTCCTCCATACCTGATTCACAATAATACCCTATAAATCTTGTGCCCCTCCATACCCGATTCACAATGGTACCCTTTACATCTTGTGCTCCTCCATACCTGATTCACGATGGAGCCCTTTACATCTTGTGCCCCTCCATACCTGATTCACAATGGTACCCTTTACATCTTGTGCCCCTCCATACGTGATTCATAATGATATCTTTTTAAATGTGTTAAAGATTTGCGATAAAAAGCGAATTGCCTTTTTTCTCTGTGCAGTATGCGATCTATTAGATTATTGAATTTCAAAAAGAAATCATTGATTTATCTTAAGACAAAAAATTTTAACTACTGTTGCAATATAGGCACAAACCTGCGTTCATGGTTGTTTGATTTTGTTTTTTTTTAACATAGTCTAGTTTCAACACTGATTTAATATTTAGAATGCCACACAAGTGTCACGGCAATGCCCTGAACTGCCCATCCCGTGGGCACCCTATCTGGGAGTTTCCCATCAACGAGCTGGATCGACGAGATGACCCAGAGTTCGATGAGAGTTTGACCGGCTGTCATCTTGTGTCCTCTTGCTCAAATATTTACCACAAGTAAGTTGTTGCTTAAGTTTTGTCTTAGCTGTGATTGACTGAGTTTTCAGATTTTAAGAACGTACTTGAAGTGAGTGATCCAGGCTAGATATGATTGTTGAGCATGAGACTGCAGTATTAAAGAGGAATTTTATCGTAAATCTAAAATCTCTAAGACGTGTTCATGGTGTATAATAAGCGAACAAATTCTTGTTTTCCCTTTTTATAAATTTCTCAAAATATTTAACAAATGGGTAGCTAAAATGAATTGTTTAAAAATTCTCTACAATACTGCATTTGCAGCTGAACTCCCATGTCTAGTCAGTCACTCGACCTGAAGTTTATTCAATACATTGATATAAGTCCTCCTTCTAGCTCATATTCCTGTTTTGGTCGATTTACAGGAAACTGAACGTCTTGTTCAAATATTACGTGTGACTCTAATCTACATTGGAAATACAATGTTAAGATTTTTTTTAATTAAAATTTTTCAATTTTAGGGATCAGTTCCGCGCTCTTCTCCAGCATAATTTCCAGCGGCATTATGGAACTAACCGCGCTCCACTCTCCCTTTCATTCGACCCTGCCTGGCTTATCTCCAATAAAGGGTTCGATGATGTTCTCAACGAGTGGATGGCACATGTTCTGCTTACCTACCCTGATGTGTATTTTACTACGGAAATACAGGTAATGGAGGGTATTTTGGTAGTAATAGATGGGCCTAGAGGGGGTAGGTAGAGATAGGCGTCTAGAGGGGGTAGGTAGAGATGGGCTTCTAGAGGGGGTAGGTGGAGATGGGCATCTGGAGGAGGGTAGAATCTAGAGGGGTAGGTAGAGATGGGTATCTAGAGGGGTAGGTAGAGATGGGCATCTAGAGGGAGTAGGTAGTGATGGGCATCTAGAGGGGGTAGGTAGAGATGGGCATCTAGAGGGAGTAGGTAGTGATGGGCATCTAGAGGGGGTAGGTAGAGATGGGCATCTAGAGGGGGTATGAACGAACACATCTCGAGGGGCAGGATCAGGGAGTAAGGAATAGAAGGGAGATATAACTGACGCGGTTCGCCCTACCATATGATTATACATGCTTTGCAGACGAAGTACTCCATTTGAAAAAGAGTTTTTAAAGGTCGTCTTTTGATTTTTTAAATGTAGTTACTTTACCATAATAAATAAAAACAATCTTATTTAATATAAAAAATACGTTTGTATTGCTAATAATTTTGCATCTTAAAAAAGAATTTATTTGGCGATGTTCAGCATACTTTTTAAATGTATTCAATGACCTTTTCTGAACACATGTACGCGGTAATTGTGCATAAGACGACATTTAAATATTTCTTATTAAAATGGAGTACTTCGTCAGTAAAGCATGTACAGAGCGTCCCATATCATATTAGATTATTTCCAATCTTTAACACCAAAATACGCACATAATACTCGAAAAATCTAGCATTTTCTGCCAAAATAAATTTCTGTTAGCCTTATTAAATTTTTCAAAATGATTCATTCTTCTTAAATTTTCTGATTTGTCTCCTAAATCGTAATTTAGACCCATTGACGCGGTCTAATTTGATGTGGGACACCCTGTATATAATCATATGGTAGGGCGAACCGCGTCAGTTATATCTCCCTTCTATTCCTTACTTCCTGGGCAGGATAGATCGATAGTCTCATCCTTTGTGGATAACCCCGAACTCCTAAGAATTCATTTGTTCTGAAATGTTGTGTATAGGTTCTAGAATGGATGATAAACCCTACCAGTACTCAATTGCTGCGTGATTTTGAACCATGGAAGGAGAAGTGTATTGTGACCGGTCAACCTCTCTGCTCGCTGTCCAACCCCTGTCCTCTCACCACCAGAGAGTTACCTGGAGAAACCCTCAGGTTAATAACATTAAATTTATTGCATATATTCTTATGAGAACAAAACAGCGGTAGCTGTTAAACCGGTTTATCATATCACATAGTTGAGACTGTTTGCAGTTTAGAACGAGAAATGAAACTTAGATTTTTATAAATTTTTTGTTTTATTTACCTGTAACCGCCACAATTATATGATAAAGTCA